TGCCTGAGTTGTTCTCTCCACAGGACATTCCGGCTGTGGATAACCACCTGGCTGCTCTGCGCTCCTCATGGGGGCAGATTCAGAGGTCCTTGAAGGACTCAGCACAGCGCCAGAAGCTCCAGGCTGATCGTAGACGGTTGCCCGCTCCCTCATACCAGGTCGGAGATCGGGTGTGGTTGTCCACTCGCAACCTCAAGCTTCGGGTGCCCACACCAAAGCTGGCCCCCCGTTTTGTTGGTCCTTTCCGCATTCTTCGCAGGGTGAACCCGGTTGCCTATGCCCTTGCTCTTCCTCCTGGGATGCACATCTCCAATGTCTTCCACGTATCCCTGTTGAAACCTCTGATCTGTAATCGCTTTACTGCCTCTCTGCCTCGTCCTCGTCCTATCAGGGTCGACGGTCATGAGGAGTATGAGGTGAGCCGCATCTTGGATTCTCGGTTGGTCCGCGGTCGGGTACAGTTTTTGGTCCATTGGCGTGGTTATGGTCCCGAGGAACGTTCCTGGGTTCCTTCCGCGGATGTTCATGCTCCTGCCCTCCTCCGCGCTTTTCACGCCCGATTTCCTCAGAAACCTTTTGTGGAGCCACGGAGGGGGAGGGGCCCTTGAGGAGGAGGTACTGTCAAGGTCCTACCTTTCTTCAGAGCTTGTGCATCTCCATGAGCTGGCCTCCATCTTGGTTTTCTGCAAAGCATGGTGGGAACCTTTATGCCTTCAGGCTTCTGCGGCTCCTCCTCAGAAGGGTGTGGTTGAGCACATTTAAACCTGCTGTCTGCAAGTGTGCTCTGCACTTGTGTCCTGTATGTTGCCCTGTTGCAAGCTCTTGTGTTGTTCCCATTGCTCTCCTGGTAACCGACTCGGCTTGGACAAGACTACTCTCTGCGTTAACCCTTTATCTGACCTCCCGTTGTTGAACCCGGCCCGTGACCTGAGTATTCTTTGCCTACCGTCTAGTACTGTCTGCTCCGTTGTTATTGACCCGGCTTGTCTGACTACTCTACTCGTGATCCCATCTAGCTCCCACCAGCTGTACGCCATTGGCGGCAGTCGTTATCGCAGCTGGGGTCACTCGGGGGCCGCGCCGCGACCTGGTCTCAGGCTGCGTCAAGTCCATCCCCACCATCAGGGGCCCTGGTGAAGGGTAGCCTGGGGCTTTAGACTCCGCGCCCTGAGGGACTCTGGTCTGTGGGTAGTGGCTGTCGTCAGTCGCAGCGTGACCGTACCATAGGCCAGATCCCACGCACTCAAGTGAAGGTGAAGCCTGTTACAGTGGTGGGTAAGACTGGTACTTTTGAGAGAAATGTGAGCGATACTAATGCACTGATTGAGACTGACTTTGAGACTCTCTGCTATAAATTTGGGATACTCCCAGTTGGGAAACCCACTGCTGGTGATCATGAGAGAGACTTTCCTCTGTATAATGCTCTGTTTAGTGGGGAGGCAACGGTTAAAAATGTCAATGTGAAGAGTACTGATATTGGGGTTGCACCAATGTCATATAAACAGAATGGTGAATTAAATGTAGTAGGGGTGACCACTAAGCAGGATGTGTTATCTCCCCTAGCAACGGTGGGTAAGGTAACCCAGGATAACTATGATGTTGCTCTGGTGGACCAGACTGTATCTGAAGTGAGTGTTGAGAATTTGTTATTTCAGTCTGGCAATGGTGAATCTAAAAGGTATGAACGTATTCATAATGATGGGTTAATGCAATCCACTAATGCAAAAGTTTTTGTAGTGAATGGCAAGCACCTAGCGCACGGTGGTGAGAGTAAGAAATTGCAACCGGCTGTGCCTAGAAAAGGAGTCTCCCATTGTGATATGGATAATGAAGATATAGGTAATGGATCTGATACAGAGCCACTCTGTCCCTATGTGTCTCCTTCAGCGGTTGGAGTGGTACTGCGTAGTACCTCTGATGGGATCACAGGGACGATGGACTGGGACAGATGGGCAACAAGCTTGTTGGCATTAATAAAAGATGCCTCTGTGGGTAACAATGGGGTGGACATGGTTTCTGCTGTGCTGAATAGAGGGACTGTGGAGCAGCTATTAGTCCAGGGCGCACCTGTCGCTGCCAAAATTAACCCACCGCTGGTAAAAGGCACCATTAAGGATAAACGCTCAGCAGAAGTTTTGCCCACAGCCCATAAAGGAGTTAATGGTGTAGTATACCAAACTGATACCCATAGAGAAGCCGTGGAAGAGCTCATTGACACTGAGCCTCAGAGTATTTGGGTGAATCCCACACCTGGTTACGCTCTGGGAGAGCCCCAGGTTATTGTATTGGGTACCTCCAGCCAAGAGGAAGCCTCTTTAAGAAGCACCACCTCTGAGGCATCAGTAAATGAGGGTCTCCATGTCTCCAGGAAGGTCTTATGTGTGGAATCAGGCTGTCTTTTTATAACAGACCTGCTGAAGGAAATGTTAGCCTTCTGGAGTGTACAGCCGGTGTATACCATGCTGTCTCTTCCATGTTCGGGAGAGCTGGTACAGTGGAGTCCCGCTAATCGGAGCTGGGTATTACAGGCTATACAAAACAAAGATGGTCAATATAGGAATTCTGTGATACCATCCTTGTTGGTAATGGTGAAAATTGTCTTTCAGTGCATGGCTGGGTTGCTTCATAGCAGTAATCTGTATGAGAGGCACACCAGAGTACTGTTGGACAGGACAGAGGTTTGGGCAGAAGTGCCGGAAGACACATGTATATGTGATGTGGTTGGGGTCGTCAACCCTAATGTAGCATTTATGTAAGGATGGTGTGGCATCAGGACAGTTGCTGGCAGAGTCTTTTGTGACAGCAAAGTCAGTGGGTAGTGAAGTTTCCATGGGAGACACCCACTCTGCTGTGTGTGATTCCTCTCCAGAAACTGCCCTGCCAATTACTAGTGAAATGAGCTCTGACAAGGGTAATTTTGATAATGATAAAAAGGGAAATGTGTTGACGAATTTGGATTGTCTGATTACTGTGTGTGATAACAAAAAGAATGGTAGACCAGGTAGTCAGGTTGACATGGTAGCTGGTTCTCCTGAAAGAGGTAATGAGTGCTTAACAGACACAAGAGAGGTTAAGAGTCTGGAAATAGGCCCCCTACAGGTTCAGGAAGGTCACTCTGGAAAAGTTTTCCAAAGGTCCAGTAAACGCCCAAGTTGTAAGAATGAAAGGTCTAAGGGAACTGTCCCAAAGCTTAACAAGGGGATGTTAAAAGTGTTTGATTCCCAAATAAAAGAGCCCACCTCTATTACTAAAGGGTCTAAAAATATAACCCCATCAAAATTAAATAAAGCAAAAAGGGATGGTCTAGAGCAGTGGTCGGCAAGCTGCGGCTCGCGAGCCACATGCGGCTCTTTACAAGCTTAAATGCGGCTCTTCTGTGTGCCGGGCGCCCGTCCCCTCCCCTCCCCTCCCTCCTCTCGGACGGGCGTGTGCAGGGCGGCCGCCCCCTCACCTCCCCCCTCCCCTCCTCCTCTCGGGCGGCCGCCCCAAAAAAATCAGGACTCTGCAGCTGTCAGGATGTAGGCGGGGTAAAAGGATGTAGGCGGGGCAGCGTGACGAACTCCTCTCCTCTCACAGTCCGCCCTGAAGACCAGAACGGCGCGGGAAACACGGCGAGAGGAACGCGCGCAGCAAAGGTAAGTGAATTGATGGGGGGGACTTACTATATGGGGGATGAATTACTATATGGGGGGGGGGACTTACTACTATGGGGGGGACTTACTATATCCCAGGGGGGACTTACTATATGGGGGACTTACTATATGGGGGGGACTTACTATATGGGGGGGACTTACTATATGGGGGACTTACTAAATGGGGGGGGGGACTTACTATATGGGGGGGACTTACTATATGGGGGACTTACTATATGGGGGATGAATTACTATGGGGGATGAATTACTATGGGGGATGAATTACTACGGGGGATGAATTACTATGGGGGGGATGAATTACTATGGGGGGGATGAATTACTATGGGGGGGATGAATTACTATGGGGGGATGAATTACTATGGGGGATGAATTACTATATGGGGGATGAATTACTGAAAATGGGGGATGAATTACTATTGGGGATGAATTACTATGGGGGATGAATTGCTATATGGGGGATGAATTACTATGGGGGATGAATTGCTATATAGGGGATGAATTACTATATGGGGGATGAATTACTATGGGGGATGAATTACTATGGGGGATGAATTACTATATGGGAGATGTATTTTCAGTTTTAAAAATGTGGCTCTCAAAATAAATTTCAATCGTGGTTTTGGCGAGATTTGGCTCAGTTGAAAAAAAAGGTTGCCCACCACTGGTCTAGAGGAATTTGAGGGAGCACGTTGTAATGTTACAGGTACCAGGCATTTAAAGCTTAGGAGTCAACCCCAGGTTACAAAGGGTACTGAGATTTGTAAACCCCCTAGTGGTAAAAGGACTAGCATAGTCTTAAGGAAATTAGAAAGACCGCGCTTTTGGAAGCGCACTCGTAAAAAGGAATGGGGAAGTAGTAGAGCCCAAGTAAGGGGAGACAGGGGAAGTCACCTCTTGGAGCAGGGAGTAGTGTTTCCCTTTGATGAAAACGAAGTCAGCCAGGATTGGACCTCTACAGGTGATAGCCCGCACAGAAGGCCTAAAGCAAGGGTTTTAGGTTTGTGTGTTCCGCCCCCTACGGGGTTCAAAACAAAGGGGGGGGATATGTGGCAGTGCGGTGTCCTGCCACGGCCAAAATAAAGCTGAAAACCCTGGATTCTCAACCAGGCAGGTTGAGGGGCTCCAGAGAGTTGATGGATTGCAGAGGAAACTGGCTTTTCAGTTTCCTCATTTACTCATTAAGTCTGTTTTGGGATCTGGAGCCTGGAGATTTCAAAGAGATCTGGGAGGGATGAAATCTCCAATCCTGGGGTCCGTGTTTTGAGAACCCCCAGCACACTGATTGCACAGGTGTGTGCAGGCCTTTTAGGGGAAGCCAGGCCATGATTCTGGGCTCCACCCCGGCAGTTAGGAGGGCTCCACCCAGGCAGACGGGAGGTCTCTGCCGTGGAGTCAGGTGGGCTACACCTAGGAGAGGTGGAAGCCAGACTAGCTGTGTGCTAGTGACATATTTTGGGAAGAGTCTGCAGGAGGCAGACTTAAAACTGCGTACAAGCCAGGAGGCTGAATATTGTTAATTTACTTGATGGTGGATACCCCTGCGTGGGAAGCATTTCTGTTTTGAACTTTCTTAAATAAAAGTGGGCTAAAAAGGCCCTTAAAGAAAGCGAGTAGCTGTGTGTGTTTTGAAGAAGAGCTCTACCACTTAAAGCGAGTTCCCACATAATCTATCTATTTATCTATCTATCTATCTATCTATCTATCTATCTATCTATCTATCTATCTATCTATCTATCTATCTATCTATCTATCTATCTATCTATCTATCTATCTATCTATCTATCTATCTATCTATCTATCTATCTATCTATCTATCTATCTATCTATCTATCTATCTATCTATCTATCTATCTATCTATCTATCTATCATCTATCTATCTATCTATCTATCTATCTATCCTCATCTATCTATCTATCTATCTATCTATCTATCTATCTATCTATCTATCTATCTATCTATCTATCTATCTATCTATCTATCTATCTATCTATCTATCCTTCCATCTATCTATCTATCTATCTATCTATCTATCTATCTATCTATCTATCTATCTATTATCTTTCTATCTATCTATCTATCTATCTATCTATCTATCTATCTATCCATCCATCCATCCTCTATACACAAATTTGTAGTCTGTTCTTACATAATACAGTCCCACAGAACTCTCCAGTCTTTATAATAATTATAATAATAATAACTGTTACATTGATACCATTTTTTAATTTCATAGTTTTTGTTGATGTAAAATTCTATCCCAACAGTGTGACCATTTCACATCTTTGTGCTGAGCTGATAACAGACTAGAACAAACAAATCCAGCCAAGATTGACTTGAATGCTTTTGTGGCACCTCAGGCTGTTTTCTTAGCTGAAAACACAAGCATGCCTGCAGGGGGTATGTCCAGGTCACTCATCTAGACACAATTCCTGATTGTCCTCATGTCCCCCAAGGCAGACCGCCAAGTGTTTCCCTATCTAGACAGATGGCATTGTTGTCAGTAAACATCACCCTGCCTGCTCCTCATTTTCTGCCTAAATCATCCTTATGCTTTTTTTTTTTTAGTTTTTGAAATTCCCAGACACATCATTCCCAAGGAATCCAGTGATATGGATAGATGGAACCAGAGTCCTACCTGCAGGTGAACAGCTTGCATGGAATGTGACTGAATCACGGGGTCAAACCACAAGGGTCGTTCAGGTCAGGCTTCGCTTAACCGCCTGTGGCAAAGAGCCCTTCGTCCCCCTCGGCCAGGTGGCATCTTAATTGGCCCAACATTCCTCCCAAAATTGTTATTTGATCTTTTGTTAATGTCATGGTTGCAGCTCACTTTTACTTGTTCCTCCAAGTCCTCATCGTTGGCCAGCTGCGGGAGGACTATGGAGATCGTGACGCCATTATGACTAATTCCTTTTCAAAAGGGTTTTGCGTTGTCTGTCGTAAAATATATAATTTGTGATCGTTTTCTATTGCAGTAAAAGTGCGTGCAAAGACCTACTTGCTTTATTGCGGGCAGGACTTTAGTAATGGCCTTGGGCAGTGCAAAGCTGACCTAGATATTGAGCTGAAGGCTCTTGAAGGATGTTGTAATGCTTGCCTCAATGCCTTATAGTAACCCCCATATCATTAAGGTAAGCAGGCCTACTGGTACTTGGTTGCCCCCAGTTTTTAGCAAAGCATGCCATAGTTCCTGGCATGATGGCACCAGGACTTAGCAAATGTAACAGGAGAAGATACCTGTAGTCTTGAAGCAGATCAGGCTTGTGTTGGGTAGAAGCAACATGGTGTGGCAGGTAGTAAACACAGAGTCCTGTTTTGCAAGAAGCAATGTATTAAAAAAGTAGTTAAACAGTACAAATAGGCCCAGGGGGTGAGGCTCACCCGTCTACCAACATTTACAACAGTACAATAGAGACAGCGGTTTGAAGACTCAAGGATGCCAACAGTGTCTACCACAAGGAGCAGAGTGCAGCCTGTCCAGTCCAAACCCAAAGGGGAAGCTTCCTGAGAAGGTAGATATAGTCCCTGTTCTCTCCCTCCTCAGCTGGAACGTTTTCCCCTATTGCTAGCACTGTCCAGGATAGACTAGGAACCTGTACCTACACTAGCCGCTTGCACAATGTGAGCACAAATCCTGGTGTCAGAGTCCTAAATAGACTCTGCCTGACCCCCAGATGGCCACCAGGGTCACATGGGACCAGGGCATCCAATTCCTGTTCCATGTGACCGACGAAACCATAAAAAAACGCATTTTCTCTCAACTTCCTCCCCCATCTCCATTGAAACTAAAGTCAAGCGCCACCTGCAGAGGAGACTACAGACTGCACCTGCCTACACATGAGCTATAGGGTTGTAAGAGAGCATGCGTAATGAACATCCAGAAGCTGGTGTAGAAAACCCAAAGGGGAAGCTTCCTGAAAAGGTAGATGTAGTCCCTGTTCTCTCCCTCCTCAACTGGAACCTTTCCCTATTGCTAGCACTGTCCCTGACAGACTGGGAACCTGTACCTACACTAGCCGCTTGCACAATGTTGTGAGCACAAATCCTGGTGTCAGAGAGACTTTGCCTGACCCAAGATGCCACCAGGGTCACATGGGACCAGGGCATCCAATCCCTGTTCCATTGTGACCGAGGAAAACATAAAGAAACCCATTTTTTCTCAACTTCCTCCCCCATCTGCGTTGAAACTAAAGTCAAGCGCCACCTGCAGAGGAGACTACAGACTGCACCTGCCTACACATGAGCTATAGGGTTGCAAGAGAGCATCGTATGAACATCCAGAAGCTGGTAGTAGTCTGAAACCCAAAGGGGAAGCAAAAAGGTAGATGTAGTCCCTGTTCTCTCCCTCCTCAACTGGAACCTTTCCCCTATTGCTAGCACTGTCCCAGGACAGACTGGAACCTGTACCTACACTAGCCACTTGCACAATGTGAGCACAAATCCTGGTGTCAGAGTCCTAAATAGACTTTGCCTGACCCAAGATGGCCACCAGGGTCACATGGGACCAGGGCATCCAATCCCTGTTCCATGTCACCGAGGAAACCATAAAGAAAAAAACCCATTTTTTTCTCTCAACTTCCTCCCCCATCTGCGTTGAAACTAAAGTCAAGCGCCACCTGCAGAGGAGACTACAGACTGCACCTGCCTACACATGAGCTATAGGGTTGCAAGAGAAGCATCGTATGAACATCCAGAAGCTGGTGGTAGTCTAAAACCCAAAGGGGAAGCTTCCTAAAAAGGTAGATGTAGTCCCTGTTCTCTCCCTCCTCAACTGGAACATTTCCCTATTGCTAGCACTGTCCCTGACAGACTGGGAACCTGTACCTACACTAGTCGCTTGCACAATGTGAGCACAAATCCTGGTGTCAGAGTCCTAAATAGACTTTGCCTGACCCAAGATGGCCACCAGGGTCACATGGGACCAGGGCATCCAATCCCTGCTCCATGTGACCGAGGAAACCATAAAGAAACCCATTTTCTCTCAACTTCCTCCCCCATCTGCGTTGAAAATAAAGTCAAGCGCCACCTGCAGAGGAGACTACAGACTGCACCTGCCTACACATGAGCTATAGGGTTGCAAGAGAACATCTGTATGAACATCCAGAAGCTGGTGGTAGTCTGAAACCAAAAGGAGAAGCTTCCTGAAAAGGTAGATGTAGTCCCTGTTCTCTCCCTCCTCAACTGGAACCTTTCCCTATTGCTAGCACTGTCCCGGACAGACTGCTGTGATTGCACCCAAATTCCCAGCGCTGTAAATCTTCAATAAACGGGAATCACCACCGTGAATAAATACTTCCAGGTGGACTCTCACCTTCTCGCATGGACCTGTATGTAGACACGGGTCAGAAAAGCACCTCCCCTATTAGTGGGGGTAACACATAACTTGCCCCTCTGTGGACAATCTTCCCCTTACGAATCACTGCTGGACCTTCACATATGGCACCTGTTATAATGCAGCCTGTTCTACTTTTTTTTCTGCAACCGGAACGCACTGGAACTGCAAGCACTGATGTGAACGATGACATTGACCACCATATCACCTACTTTCTGTGCATTTTGGATGCAGAAAAAAAAAGCAACTGAAACGCATGTCGTGTGAACTGGTCCTAAGGGTTCACACTATAAAAATGCAGTCCAGATGCATTCCGGATACATTTTTCTTGCTTACAGTTCACACCACATGCAGTTCCGGTGCCGTTTTTATGCAGTTTGCTATGTCACAGTACGGTTCTGTGCAGAAAAAATGCAGCATCTTTTTTTTTTTTTGCACTAGAAACTGACTGGAACTGACTGCACTGGTGTGAACCAGGGCCATTGGAACACATGGAAAACACTGTGCATGCATTTTTGATGCAGAAAAAAATCTAATGTGAACTAGCCCTTAGGGCCGGTTCACACTATAGAAGCGCAGCCCAGATGCATTCTGGATGTGTTTCTGCATGCGTGTTTTTGACGCATTCCAGTGTTTTTTTTTATGCGTTTTTTTACGCATTCCAGGTCATTTTCCCCCTCTTTTTCTTCGATTTAAATAGGGACATGTGCGTTTTTGGTTTTGGTGTGTTCCGGTGTGTTTTAGTGCGTTCGGTGCGTATTTGATGCGATTTACCGCATTCCAGAACAGTTCTGAGCAGGAAAAATGCAGCCTGTTCTACTTTTTTTTTCTGTACCCGGAACGCACTGATGTGAACTATGACATTGTCAACCACATAACCTACTTTCTGTGCGTTTTGGATGCAGAAAAAGCAACTGAAACGCATGTCGTGTGGACTGGCCCTTACCCTAGGTAACCGTTTTCTGCAGCATTTTGAAGAAATGCAGTACAGTCCATTTAACATGATTTCCTATGGGACACATTCACATCTCAGCGTTTTTTTTTGCGTTGCATTTTTTGGAAAGGGTCAGGGACTTTTTTTAACGCAAAACATTGCGTTTTTGGTTCTTTAG